ATTAAAGATAAAGGTGTCTAGTTGTCTATATAAAAATTTTAGAGCAATTTATTTAGTAGAATTTCCATAATCGCAGAAATGGTAAATGATGTTTAGGGCCCTGTTCGGAGTTGGCAAACAACTTTGTTTGTCCAACTTCAAATGGTGATAACCGGAGCTAGGAAACTTCAAATGAGGCATATGATACCTTTTTGGAAAGGTAATTGAGTCTAGATTAACATAATAAAAGATGAGAATTTTATAACAAGTGAGTCACGCCCAGTAACTAGAAAACAGAAGCATGTACAGTTATGGAAAAACCGTAAAAGTGATATTTAAGCTAAGTGGGCTTAGGGGAACACTTAGTAACTTATAATAATCATAAATATGACTTGGATGAGTTGAAAATAATCTAAGTGAGCCTTGCATGTGATTCTAAGCTATGTAAGTAATTGAAGATTAAAGTGGCTTGTAATAATGCACTAAAATATGTAATAAGTAATAATTGGTCTAGGCTTGTAATGGGCATATTATTGGCATATGAGTATGAAAAGTGGAATCATTAAATGATTAAGTTGTGGATATGACTTGATTAATTAATATGTAATTAATGATGTGAATGGTTCCTACTCTAGGTGTGCCTAGAGAACCGTGCACTTGAGGATTTTGTTGGAGCATACGTATTATATTGGAGTGTGGGCTTGTGCTAAGCTCCCTAAGGTAAGCTCCTAGTTCTAGTTGACTCCTCTCTCTTGTGGCCCCACCATGATGGTGGGCATTATGGTTATATTGTATGAAAGTATATGGTATGATGTATATGTGCATTCATTCACATTCATATAGATGTTATATGATCTTGATGTTATGATGATGCACTGATGATATATGTTATGAGGATCCTGGCCAGTGATCATGGTATGTAGGCTGCCTATGACTTGACTCTGGGAGCTATTTCATACTGAGGTTGTATTGACTGTCTATGGCTTGACCCTGGAAGTCACACATGTGTAACCGTCTATGGCTTTGACCCTGGGGTTACACAAGGATGATATGATGATGCTATGTTTATGCTGTATGTCTGTATTATATGCTTTGTATCTGACTTGTTATGCAGGAAGTGGGCTCAGGGGTTAGAGGATCCTCTATGAACCTTGAGCTTACTGAGATGTTGTTATCTTACCCCGTTTGGGGACATCATTTCAGGTACCCAGAGTAGTGGTGATGCTTCTAGGGGCAAGGTCCCCGCATTGGAGTAGTTGATGATGTAGCTGATGATTTTATATTATGTTTAGATTTGATGTTGGCATGTAGACTTGTTAACATGCTTAATTATTTTATGGAGATTATTGTATGTATTTATTTAGGTTCATGATAGTATTCTTAGAGCCATGGATTATTTACTGATACTTTTATACTTCGAATTAATATAGACTTGATGCATGTATTCAGTTAATTTGGGCATGGAGCCTTATTAGTTGTATTGACCCATTAAGGGGATTGCAGTCCGTGTGGGACTTGCAAGCTATCTGTTTAAATTGTTGTATTAATTAGGTTATCTGTATGTGTGGAATCATGTTTCTAGTTATCCGAAATACAGCCGTTATGCTGTCCGTGAGACTCCGTCAGGAATGACACTTGATGTCATATCTTGATGGTTAATGGCCACTAATACTGGCTCATGGGATTAATTAGTAGATGTATATTCAGATTTACGCTTTTGCAGTATCTGACGTGAACGTTTTTAGAAATGTTTTTATGAAATGTTTTGGAAAAAGTTTACTCGTATTTTTATAAGATGCTTTATTCCTTTTCAAATAAAGTCTTCCGCTGTGAATGTTAAATATCATGTATGTTAACAACCGGAGTACTACGGGATGTTACAGTTTTTATAAATCTTAATTCAAATTGTTAGTATTAAATTAATTTACTTTCAAATTAACTTTCTGGTGACAAAATATTCATGATTTTTACAAACTTTTGTTTAATTCAAATTAGTTTTCTATGGTTCATTGGTGTTTGAATACAAATCTCTGTGAGAACGATCTTTACTCATCATTTTATTACTTGTACGACTAGTACACTTGCTAAAGTTGCAACACTGGGATTGTGATTGGTCGCTCTGGTAGAGACTGTGGTAGTCCGCTCTGGCAAGGACTGTGGTTGGTCACTCTAACCAAGATTGTGGTTGGTAATTGGTATCCCTCAAATTGCTCTGGGCCTTGATGGTTAGCTTGGTCGCTAGGGTAGCAGTGCTTGTACATTGAAGGTGAAAATTGGTGTGTTACAGTGGACACCCTGCAACATGAAAGTTTACAACAAATATTGTTGGGTAACTGATGATAAGTAACTGAGGGTAACGTCTTTTGTCCACTTAGGCAATGTTGTCAAAATCGAGTTTCTATGCAAAAATGAAAAAGGATGGTAGAAACGTAAAACGTAGAAGCGACACGAAATGTAAATTTTCTTCTATATATATATGGGACATGATCATTTGACACTAATGTCAAAAAAAAAGTTGGACACCTTATCTGAAAGTCGTTGATCTTGTTTTTATCTAACGACTTTGATTTGTAAGCATGTGCACCGTTGATCTGCCTTAATCTAACGGTCCTCAAATAAGGTGTCAAATGATCCTACCCTTATATATATATACAATGTAAAATAAACACATAAGTCATTACTCAAAATTCACTGAATAACATATTTAAAAGAAATAAATCACATAACTATATAAGACGTAAATCCAAAAACACAAAAAGAGTTGTTAAACTCCTATAACCAAGTTCTAAAACATCAAAAGAATAAAGTTAAACAACTCTTAAATTATATTAATTGATTCAAATCAAACACATTATCTTGCATTAGTTGCAATTCCTCAATGTCCTCTTCTCTAGATCCTCTAACAAGTTCATTTACAAAACTTGGATTGTCCAAATCATGGCCATCCATAGGTTCCCTCATTTCAACTTCAACCATGTTTTCCTCATCATGGGCATCAACATCTAAGTTGTCTACATCTTCCCACTCTTCTTCATTTTCCACTTTTCTATTTTTAGGTCTAAGTAAAAGAATAAAAACTTGTGTTTATACCGTTTTTACGCGATGTTTTTAATGAGAAACATTTTTACTTATGTTTTGACACTTGTGACTTCAATAAAAACGTAAAAACATATGTCTCTACTTTTTTAGTCGAGTTTCTGACAATAGTGCGCTCAAGACAAGCAAGCTCTTTTTGAGAAATTGGAGATGATAAATGATGGAGGGCGGAAACCTCTGTCATTGTGGAGCTCGAGGTGCTCGTTGGGCTATATGGATCAGCGAGTGGTGAGGGTAGCGACCTTTTTGCAATTTTGGAATTTGGATTATAGGCAAGCTCTTCTTTAGCGATCTCAAATAATAACTGATTATGACGACCCATAATCCACCTCATGAGCTATGTGTATAGCCGAGCTCTTTTTGAGGTATTGTAGTGGATGAAGGCAATTTATTCGCTTAGGAGCTTGGCCTTTTAGTCTATCTTGGTATAGCTCGGAGAGTGCTCTGAGTTTATTGAACCTTAGCGTGCTTGACTAGGTTACTTTGGACCTTAGTAGTGAGGTGTCTGGCCGGGCTGTGACTTCTTGGATGAGGTCTGGATCTGCTTCATTCTCTCAGCCTATGCGCCGAGTTGCTTAACTTGGAGCTCGAGGCAATGGCTGAGCTACTGCCGTTTTGGAGCTTGAGCCGATGGCCGAGCTTGATTTGAAACTCGAGGTAATGGTCGAGCTATTTAACTCAGAGCTCGAGGCGATGGCCAAGCTGTTTGACTTGGGCTTGAGGTGATGGCCGAGCTTATTTGGAGCTAATTGTGATGGCTGAGCTACTGAACTTGGAGCTCAAGGTTAAGGATGAGCTGCTTACTTGGCACTCGAGATGAAAGTTGAACTGTTTAACTTAGAGCTCAAGGCTATGGCCAAGCTGCTGAACTTGAAGCTCTATGCATGCCTGAGCTGCTTGCTTGGCACTCTAGGTGATGGTTGAGCTATTTAACTTGGAACTAAAGGCTATGGATAGGCTATTTAACATTGTGCTTGCTTGACTATTCGTCTGGACCTTGCTATCTGGGTGCAGCTCTCCGTGCATGACATTATGTAGTTGTTATTATTTGATGATGGTTTTGTGGTGGCAGCTATGGTGTTGGGGGCTTTACACTACTTTACGTGTGCTCATCAAGATTGGGTGGGAATCGAAGTTTATCGTTTCCCACATAAAATGGCAATATTCTATCCAAGAGAATCAGGATGTCCAACTGGTGGTTGGTCATTATATCTTGGATCATTACCCTCTCGTGAGTCCATGGAGGAGAAGCCACAAGGGGCAACAGATGACTATGCACAATAATAATGGCGTATGGCCGAAGGCGTAGGGTGTATACACAGTGACAATTAAGAGTATGAAATTCAGTTATTGACACCTAAGATGATTTAACTTGTTCATCTTTTAAATCCTAAGAGATCATCATTACACAACTACTAACATGTGGACGTCTAAAATTGAGAGAAGACTGCAGCAGCAAACGTGGAACATCCCCTATTCGACTACGCTTCTTGTTTTTGGAGATTTTAGCCCTTTGCGTTTTCATCATACGAACGACATTATATGACTCATTGAGTCACCGATTTTGGCCTAGTCAAAGTCACTCCTGGTTTACTACATAATTGATCCAATATGCAACTCAGACCGCTTTATCATTAGAAACAGCAAGTCCAATTCGAGTTTTTTTACACTGATCCATACGTTTTCAAGCCTTGGATTCTCAAATACACTCTGCATTAGACTAATAAATAACTGTTTTAACATTATTACTTTGAGATTAGTATTTTCCATGTAGTAACAGATAATTTTATCTCCTACATACATAAAAATATGTGGAGCCATGCAAAAAAAAGAAAGAGAAAAAGAAAATATAAATCTTATATACTTTTATGTGTGTGTAGAAAATAAAATTTATCTCTTACAAAATAAAAAACATTATTCCCTATTACTTTAGTTCTCATAATAACACTTTGTAGACAAAAATATCTCGCGCATAGGGGGCTTAGAGAAACAGAAAGAAGCTATTATATATTTACATGTGCATTTCGATATATAGTACTCGTGAAAAGGACACGGTCAGAATAACAAGGCATATATGAATGAAGGTTTTTTAATCCACACTTCCCTAGTCAAATCCCTATTCCATAAGATTTAGATGACAATATGTTACCACCACCACAGAGTAATAAACTACCAGACTCAATTCTACTTTTTAGGTGTACCCTTTCAACAAACCAGCTCTCAGCTGATGATTGAAAATTATACTCACCGAGGTCATAATAATTTGACCTCTTGGTCGACAACTTCAAAACATTTTTTTCGAACTTTTTTATGTATTGTTGAAGTCCAGAGGTTTCAGATTCTGATGGTTTTTGTGCAAATGAGAAGGATTTGCAACCAGTTTCTGTGTTGCCAGAGATTGAACTGACTTCACCACCGTGAAAAGCTCCCACACTAACAGTGCTGGGAGCTGGTTGTGAAATGTTAAAATGGATGTTCATGGATTGTCCTTGAGTGCCCGATTCCTGTGAAAATGTAAAAGATTTATTTTCAGAAAACTCATATCCATAATATCAATCAATGTGGCTGTGCATGCGTTTATCTTAATACTCATTCTTAGAGATCTATAAATATGTTAGTATTACTTAATAATAATTGTGTATTAATTTCTTAAGCCATCTACATAATAGAAGATTTCAAATATTTACAATGAAATAAGTTTCAGTAAACAAGAATCATTATTTGAGAAGTTTGTTAATGGATTCAAAAAACTATTATGCAACACAAGAATATCAAGAGGGACTTGTTAATTAGTGAGGAAACTACTGATGAAGTTAGAAACAGAAGCATGTGAACTTGCCTCGGTTAAACACATATTGCTACTAGATGGAGTAGGTGGACCAACCAAACTGAGTGGAGGATCCTCCGGGGATGAAAAGTCAGAACTATCAAATGGTGATAGTGATACACACTCGTCAAAATAAGCTTTGGCATCTTCTGCAAGACGTTTTGACATCCTCCTCCTTTCAATGCTAGTCTGTCACCATGTTTTGGTTCATTAACAAAGGAATAGAAACAAAAAAACAAAAGCATGCACACAGCACAAATAGTAAGCCATAGTTTCCAAATATCTATCGCAACAACTACTATGCTATCTTTTACCCAAGAGATCCGTGAGGTTAATGAGTTAAAATATGAAATGCATAAAATCAAGTTGTCCGCATCTATGATTGAAAACATCAACAAGGGAAATATTGATATCTTCAACTCGTGAAAAGGAGATGCGGAATTTGCTATTTAATATTTTGAATTTCATGTGGTTAGAATTATTACACTTCAATAATAATACAACAAAAGTATAAAAGGTTCTGTTCTTCATGAAAAAATCAATAGATGAAGATGCATAATTAAAAAGATGAATTTTATGCTTACAATTAGGGCTTTTCTCAAGCCTTCACTCTAGTTTTTTCTGCTTTTAACCTATATCCCTCCCAGGCAAATCTTTCCTCTCTACATATGTAAGTGTAAAGAATATGTTCCGCATACAAAACAGAAAACATACACGCTATATATTTTGTGATGAGCAAAGTATTCAAGAACTTCATACGACAAGTTTGAAAAGATGCATTAGACTAAACAAAATGCAGAAAGAACCTACTTTTCTTGCTGGACGAGACTTTTGAACATTAATAGGAGTCCTGGGATATGGAAGAACTTCTTTCAAGATTCTATCCAGTTCTAGTCCACGATGTTCTTCAACAGCCAGATCTGCTCGAAGATTTCTAGCTCGCTCCTGGGACTGTAATAGTATGACAAGGTCTACTTAATAGAGTACAATTTAAAAGAGACAGACTAAAACACAGATACACAATATAACCAAAAGAGGAAAAACTCAATAAGGGGAAGATTATCTGTATTGTTTTGGTCTGGAGAAAAGAAGGGGAAATGAATTGGTGGCTCTTTTAAGAGTCTCCATGTAAAAGAATAAAAGGACTTCAAAAAAACATGATCTAGGACAACAAAGACACCCACCCTCATCTTGAACTATGACATAACCATCTACTATGTAGTAGAGAAAAATGATTAAAAATAAAAAAGAAAGAGAATTTAACCATACTCCATCTACAAGTATAAAAGGGAATATCACCTCTTCAAGCTTTTTAGCATACTCTCTTCTGATCTCCAAAACCAATTCTACCGCTCCAGGGTTTACCATGTCTGGAGGAATATCAGACACGTTGGCAACAGCGGCGGCAGTGACATTACTCCTTTGGATAGCCTGATTCCAAAGAGCCAGAAAGGCAGAAACAAGTTAAAGAATAGCATAAAACTTCCTTTTACAATCTTTGTAGTACAATTAAAAATTAGTCGTGCATGCATCAACAATTAATTGCACTAAACTATTTAGTCCTTATGATGATGAATCAAAATTTTGGAGTACATATGAAGCTATAAATTAAGAAATATAATAAGTAAATGACCTGTGCGAGTAGGCTTACATCCCAAAAAATAAATAAATATGAAATGAAATTCACAAGAAATGTAGGAATTGATATAATTCATGTAAAATGCAAAGTTGTATGAAAGTAATAGACCTGACCAGCACAATTTTTATATTCGAAAAAGCATCTGAGACGTGAAGAGTTTTTCCTAAGATTCTTATTGGCTAAAAGTTTATGAACCATTCCCAGAGAATGAACTGCCATGCCCTGCTTTTTGGCTGATTCTGTTATATTGTAAAACCTATGTCTAAACCTATTCATCCTCTCTTTTATTTTTGTTTTAAAAATTTGTGAAAAAACGACAACAATTGGAGATAAAAGCCAGAATCTTGAAGGACATTTTTTTTTTCCAATCACCATTTATATGGGATAAAGTGGTCCTTTTTTATTCTTTTTGTAGTGGTGCTCAACTAGTAGCTACTTTATAATAATTACTAGTGAATAATCCAATATTTTTCTTTTGATGTCTTTCTGCATATTTATAACATGAGGTAGGATACTTTGACACTAGTGTCAAATTTGAAATTTGACACCTCATCTGAGAGCGGTTAGATAATAAAAATCAACAACTCTGATTTGTAAGCATGTGACACCATTGATCTTTTTTATCTAACGGCTCTCAGATGAGGTGTCAAATTTCAAATTTGACACTGGTGTCAAATGATCCTGCCTCTTATAACATTGCTATTAATTATTAGTCTTACACATATACACACACATAACACACGGAGTGAGAGAGAGGGAGAGCTTTCCGTTAAACAGTGGCAAACTGTACCAATTATCATTGGCTAAATCAAATAAAATGCAGCAAGTTGACTTAGAGTTAACAAAGAGAAAGTCAGGAACTCATGAAACTTACACTCTCAAGGTCAATCTGAATCTCAGAAATAGCACGCTTCACTTCAGAACGAACCGTTTCATATATATCATTGGCTTCCAGTGGATTTCCTTGTACTGACTGCAGAAGTTAAGACCCAAATTTATACCAAAAATTATCTAACATGAAGAACAAATACCAAATTTCTGCCTGGTGTTATACTGTAGAAGCATTAAATTTTCTTCCAATGACGAATAATTTGTCATGGATTGAAATTTCCTAGATTTAGGATAATATGATCCACATCAACAAACCACGGCACCAAGTATTTTTTCAAGCATACTTGACAGCATGACAGCGTGAAAAGAAATGGAATAAAATTACTAAAGAATAAGTTAGTTTAATCTCATACCCTCGAAACTAGGAAAAAAGAAAATTAGAAAAATTGAATAGAATGAGATGGAATAAATTCCATCAGGTTCCATTTCATTCAACCTTGTTTGAAATCATCCAAACAATGACAACTAATGTCATTCCATTAATTCCACTCCGTTCCATCCCTTCCTGTCAAAATGAACATAGCTGCATAGATAACCTATAACTCACATTCATCTGTTCACAAACTGCTCTGATAGTTTTCTCATCAGAACCAAACCCAGAACTCGCCGTGGAAACAGCATCATCAGCATTTTGAGTTTGCAAACCAGACTGCGAGATTAAAAAAAATTAGTATAAACCCATCTCAATCATTTTAAAAATACTGCAAACATACACCAACCAGCAAGGGAAAGGAAAGTACAAAAGTTGCAGCAAAAAAATCCAAGACCTCAATCGACGAATGCCGACTGGACCACGTGTTCAAATCCTTCACTTGATCCCTCACACCATCATCACTTGTTCCAACCAAACCACCTTTTCTATTACTCCCCAATAACTTCAAACCATTCCCACTTTTAAATTCAGCTTCACTCTGCACAAACAACAAAAATATGCAAAATAAGCTTAATTCCTTTCCTTCCATTCCTTTCCATTCCCTTCTTTCAATGTCCCACATCAAAACAACAAAAAAGAGCCTCAACTCTCAAACACAAATAAACCCTCTCATATTAGAATTTCATATAACAAATATCTTATATGATATTGTGATGTAAAAAATTTGTATCTATCATTATAGACTTTAACAAAATTCATGCATTTATATGAATATACAATAAAATAAAATAAAAAGACACAAAATTTTCATTTAATAACTGAGAGTATAAATTCCCGCCATAAAAACACGAAAAAGGAAACTTTTTCATTTAATGTGTTTCGTGTACCTCGGAAGTCGAATAATTCAAATGCCGCCTCGAAACCGGGCATTGCGAAGCGGAGCGGGTGCGTCGACCCGAGTCCGCTCGAGACAAGCTCCGACCCGATTCATTCCGACCCGGTTCTGCGCTTCGCGCCACGGAACGTCCTCTTGCGATGCCCTCTGCGGGTGTGGAAGTTTCTAGAAGATTCTTGGTGGGTTGGGTTTGGTCGGCGGTTGAGAAGAGAGGGTTGTCCCTCTTGTTGAGGAACTCAGTGGAAAGGTCAGAGTTGGTCCTCGAGAACGCGCTCACGCTCCTTGACCTTCGAATCGGAGGAGCTCTGTTTGTGGGTCTGCCGGAAGATGATGAGGTGTTTGAGGGAGTGGAAGATTGGTTTCCTCTTCGGGAAGAGGATTTGAAGGCTGCAACTGCCATCACACAAAGTGACGGAAAATGAAGGAAAATGAGAGAAAAGAATGGAAAGTGGAAGGAAGGAAGGTTGTCTCCATCTTCGTATGAATCGCAACCACCGAAGCTTTTTGTTTGTTTATTTCTTTTATTATTATTATTATTATTATTTTATTTTCGCAGTTGCGTACAATTTTGGACTGAATCTCCTCAATATTTAATGGAAGTTTATTAATTGTCACGGGTCAAACGTTTCTATATGAACGAAGGGTTAAAGAATTGTTTTATCGTATCGTATGAGATTTTCAAGGGTCTTTAATTGTTAGAATTTACATTTAAAAAAAAAAATTATAGATTTAAATATTTTATTTAAGAGTCATGATGTATACTTGTTTTTGTGCGGAATCTAGTTGTTTCTTTCCTTTTTGACGTGAAATACTTTTTCTCTTTCTTTTTTGTGTCATGGTTCTTTCTTTTTGGTTTTTTTTTTTTTTTCCTTTTTTAATGTGGAGTTGTTGACCTGCTTTCCACTTTCCAGTAACATCATTATTCGATTCTATAATGTGTGCATGCTTCATTTTTTTTAGGATAATTTTGGCTAGTGTAATAAAGATACCTATTGTAATTCCAAAAATCGTAATTGGATAAAATATTTGGAAGGTATTTTATTTGTCTATAATGATATACAAAACCATCATTATCTATGAAGTGAAATCTTTCGCATAAATCAATGCAATTTAGGAGGATTCGATGAAAGGACATCAATTAAAATCCTGGATTTTCGAATTGAGAGAGATATTGAGAGCCTCCCGCCGGGGCCCGCTATACCCAAAGCGAGAGAAACTACATCCCTCTCTTTCCTTTTTTTCGCCCCACCCCGTAGGAACTGCGAGATCACCCCAAGGACGCCTTCGGCATCCAGGGGTCGCGGACCGACCATATAACCCTGTTCAAAAACAAAAAGCGGAACGCATCAGCTATCCGCTCTCAGATTGGACAGTAAGGGTCAGGCTTTCCAACCCATTTTAGTACAAGGGCGTGCTATTTGTTTACATCAGTCAAATAAGATAAATTATTTTAAAGGTTTAGAGTGATATTAAATCATTAAAAGGTTTGAACCCATGTACATAACAGAAGAGATTAATGATCAGAATTATCAAACACAGTGCAATAAGAAAATTAGAATAGACTTACAGGATGTCAGATTATGAGACAGAATGATCAAGTATGCAGTATGATGAAATAAATCCGAGCCCACAGAATGTGTCTCCTTAAGACAATTTGCTCCCTCATTGATGCCAAAGGTTGATAGATTATGCTTCCCGGCAAGTATACCGATCACACAAGTAATATAATAATAAGAAAAGTTCGTCTCCACATGGATTGTGATCGTATATTAATTAATAGTCCTTTCAAGAATGGAGGAGTTCAAAGAGTTTGTGACAAATATTGTCGATTTGTATAAAATGAAAACTGAAAATAAAAACTTGTTTTGAATTTTTATATTGAAGAATAAAAATACAAACGAAGATTGATTTTTGCAAATAAGAGAAAAGCATTGTAGCTAGAGTACATTCACCATATGATCCCTACTTCTTACTTTGGATTGATTTATAATATTCAATTATATAATTACTCAGATAAATTATTATCTAAAGATATTAATAGTTAACACTCAATTCCTTGTAAGGTTAACCCTTTAATCCCAATTGAAACCCCAATTTCTTGCAATGTTTCTCATGGCATTAAGCAATGAACTCAATAATTTAAGCATCCCCAATTAAATACATATCTATTCCTAGTATGCATATAAATTGTTATCCTACCCCCTTTCAAGATCAAAACCTCAATATTCCTATTTAGGGTTCTAACCCTCAAACTATCATCAACTATTAGATTGATCAAGTCTAACAAAGAAGATATAAAATACGCATAGGGTAGAGATAAAGACAATTATACAAATGAAGAATTATAAACCAATCTGTCGTAACAAGGGTTCACATAGGGTTTGTGACCCTAACTACAATAAAAAGTAAATTAGCTAACCATTATCATGGCTAAATATTCAATATTCATAAACCTGGTAATTTAAAAGTAGAGAAAGAAGAAGAAGAAGTCGATCTCCGGAATCCTCTCTGAGCACCACCGTCGTCTCTCTTCAATAGAATAGGTCTAACCCCTCAATTCTGTCATGAGGATCATATTTATAAGTCTCTTACTTTCTTCCAAAATTGTCCTTCAGAAAACACGGTACTGCAATTCCCGTAAACCGGCGCCAGTTGGCGCCGGTGTGGCGCCCCTTAGCGCCACACCTCTGTCCAATTAACAAAAGTCGGGACAATTTCCTCGTAACTTGGCGCTAGGTAGCATCAAAGTGGCGCTAGGTGGCTTCATTTTGGCGCCAAGTAGCGCCACACTACTGCCACCATTGAATTTTTCATGAATTTGGCGCCAGTTGGAGCCATATTGGCGCCATTGGGCGCCACTCAAAAACCTCCGCTGTGCAGTTCGTAAATTGGCGCGGGTTTGCGCCAATGTGGTGCCGGTCCATGCCATGTTGCTGGAAATTGTATTGTGATACACCCGTGTGGAGTCGTGTCAACATGCTTTTTATAATTTGTAATTTTCACTTCTTTTACCTGTATAAACACAACCAATAGGTGAGAAATATTATTGACATAGAAAGTAGGGATGGGCATGGGTCGACCCGAACCGGATTTTTTGGAGAACCGAAAACCGGTTCGGTTCTTGGAACCGGTTTTTTTTTTAAAATGAAACTGGTTAGGTTCGGTTTAAAACCGGTTCGAACCGAACCACTTATGAACTGGTTTCAAACCGGTTTCGAACTAGAACCACTTCCGAACCGGTTGCGAACCACTTCCGAACCGGTTCCGAACCACTTCCGAACCGGTTCCGAACCACTTCCGAACCGGTTCCGAACCACTTCCGAACCGATTTTAAAGAAGAATTTTTTTAATAGCATTTAATGCTGCTATTTCTTCTATGTTCTGAACCAATTTATGTAACGTTCAGGTAAATCCACATAGTTGAAATCATCAACTAGGCCCCGACCCTGTATGGAAAAGTAAGTGTTTGAATGTTCATTCTCTATGTAAGAAAGTGTTGTAGTTAAGGAAATTGTTCCAGAAAATTGTTCCATCAAATCACCATCTCAGTCTAAAAAAGGTATAAACACCATCTTCATTTCTTCCAATTTTTCTTTCTACCAAGAAAGGACATTAAATTTTCAATACTCAACGATTTATCCTATTTTTACTTTTTCTGCTTTTGATTCTAACAAGCACATCCTTGAACCGTCATGGATGCCACCATCATTAGATTGTCCAATAAGAAAAGCTTCAAACAACATTCTCATATTATTGTAGCTATCTTCTTTGCATTTTGAATCTGGAGACTGGTTTTGAATATTGAGAATCAGGAACCTGCCAAAATCAAATTCATGATTAATTGATTATCATAGATTTAAGACGATGATAAAACTGCAAAGCATCATGGTACAAATCAGTAAATCTCCCTGTAAGGAAGTTGATCTTTGTTCTCTTGAAGTTGTTTGAACATTCTCAGCATGCTCTATTATGGAGCCTGTAAAAGCATGCATAAAATATTTATTCAAGAAAATTATCAGCTTCAATGATCATTCAATGTAATCAGAGGTTCTTCCAGCAGCTAAGGAACCAATGCACAAAGGTTTAAGATTCCTGCTAGAATCCCACAACCCCTTTCATAAAAAAAATAACATGGAAGAAGGCACTAAGCCAGCCATATGGGAGGTATTATAATTCATAAAGCAAAAGCTTCATAAGCAGAAAATCAGACTGAAAAAGCAGTGACTTTTACAATCCACCAATTACACCAACATATACCATATAAGCTTAACAAAATCATCACAATAGAAATTGAAAGTACAATTCATTTTTGAAACACAATTCAACTGAAAATAAACAATGGTCAATCAATATCATGGGCAACTGAGGTCGAACAGGTAGCATTTTGTTGGGAAACCATCTCTACAAAATAAAAAATCTGATTAATTATTAAATCACAATATAATAAAAACATCTTAATTAATTTTATTATCTTACCTTCCTCAATTTTCTCAAGCTCCTCAAGGTCTTCATTTGAAAGCTTCAAAAAAGGTGTTCGTTTTACCCAATCTTGTGTGCAGACAAGCGCTTCCACTGTTTTAGCTGTTAATCTACTACGGTAAGGATCAAGTACCCTTCCTCCAGTGCTAAATGCTGACTCAGAGGCTACAGTAGAGACAGGTATAGCTAACACCTTTCTAGCAATGCTTGCAAGTATTGGAAATCGACTTGAATTTGCTTTCCACCAAGTTAAGATATCAAAATCTGAATAGTTCTCTATAGCTTCATCCAGGTACTTATTTAATTCAGATTTAGCATTTGATTTATGCCCAGTTGTTTGCTGAAAATGATTAACAAAATCATCATCATCATCATCGAACTGTGTTTCCTGTGAATTATCTTGAGACACCCCTTCATTGCCAATATATTCTTCAAAAATGGACTTCAAACACCTCTCTAACTTCTCTCTCAAGCCAGCTGCCTCACCACTATTAAAACTATCTTTAATAGACCAAGTTAAGAAACTCATTTTGCACCTAGGATCCAGTACAACTGCAATCATCAACAACATATTCAGATTATCAGGATTTTCCCAATACTTATCATATTTTTTCTTCATCCTTTGAGCCATCTCACTAACACTTGAATCATTGGACTCGCACATCTGTCGAATCCTCTTTGCAATTTTGAATACCTCTATCATATATCTATTACTAGTAACATAAGAAGTACCAGAAACAGACAAAGTAACTCGATAGAAGATCTTTAAAAATGGCAAAATTAACCGAGCATAGTACCAGTCTTCATATGTAGGCACACACTTGCCTTTTTCTAACTCATGATAATAATTCTTATCTTGCAATTCAAGCTGCTCAAATGCCCTTTCATGCTTCAAAGCTGCCTCTAACATAAGATAAGTTGAATTCCATCTAGTTTCAACATCTAAACTAGGTGCACCCTTGTATTCAATCTTTTGCTTTTCTGCACACGCCTTGAATTTTTCAAACCTGGATGGAAAAG